GGGGTGCTGAGGGTGCCACGAGGACCACATCCTGGAAGCAGGCTCTGCCCCAAGAAAGGAGCTGCTACAACCAGGTTGTCAGCTGGTGCATTGCCAGAATCCTCCCAGAGTCAGTTACTGTGAGCATGGGTAACCTCAGAGACTCCCTTCCAATCTCCCCCAAAATGGGTGTACTGAGGAATGTAGTGGATCACAGGTGGGACAAGACAGAATTTGTTACTTCTACAGTTTATGTTTATTTTTTCAGGTCTATGGCAAGTATACTAAAATTCTACTTCAGGGAACGATACAAAGTTTCCTTCTAAAATAAATATTCTGGAGAGTAAGGAGACATGAGAGTGAAAGGCACTGTGGGTCCTGGAACAGGAAATGAACAGTAAGCAGGAAACTTGGCGAAATAAACCTGCCAAGGCCTGTAGTCTGGTTGACATACTGCCTAGCATTTCTGCCTCAGTTTCCATGCTCACAGCATGATCTGGTGAGACGTTAACTCAGGGGAGGTGGAGTAATGGGGAAGCTCTGCCATTTTTGTAACTCTTGGGTAAGTCTAAAATTCTCTCAAAATAAAAAGTTATGGAATATTCAAAATTTTAAGACGTGAGATGAGTTATTGAACTGGAGTAAACAACGGTATAGGTAGTAGGTGGATCTGGAAAGAGGAGTAGGTCATCTAGGAATTTCTGGAGATTGGGAAACATGTCACATACATTCCTGTTACAGAGGAAAAGGGTGGCCCAGAGAGGTGGGTGGATTTACCCAGGGCTGTGAGGGCATGAGGGAGGGGAGAGGCAGGTAGAGACTCCAGGATGCAGTCCAGCCTCAGGGCTCACTTCTGCACGTGATCCTTGATTAGACGCAGAGATATGTCCCCTTGGCAGGGGGAAAGCACAGCCCCTTCTTTTCAGACCACAGGGCCACTCCACATAGGTGGAACTGAATCTGCACTAATCAAATAATCTGTATCTGTATGGGATCAAATCAAAGACCTTCGACAAGAAATAAGAAATACAAAGACAAGGCCTGCCCAAAACGATGCCTTTAAAACATCAGGACACCTCTGCCAGGGCCAAACCAGCAAATGCCACCAGTCCCTCAGGCCAACAACCCTCAGCCCCTTTCCCCTGCCTAGCCACCCGATCTCCAAGTCTAGCTCAGACCTGGCCTTGCCTCCCCAGTCCGGTGGAGAGGGCCCCTGGGCAGTCAGAAAAAGGTCCTTCCAGGACCTCACACCTCCCCCAACCTGGACACCCTGGGAGCTCTGCAGGTCCGGGGTGAGGGTGGGAAGGAGGGAGAGGCCCCTTCACTTTCAAGGCACTCAGGGCCACCTTCTCACCATCTCTGAAACTGAGGAGTTGTGAAGGATCAGATGGCAGCTCTCACCTTGGCCATGAACTTTGAGAGGATGCCAAGTGGTGGGTGTGCATAGCAGCACTGTCTAATCAGAGTCCAGTGTTCATATCCCAGGCTCTGATGATCTTTGGGGTCTCTGCACCCCTGGGCACCAGCAGGAAGGTAGTCTGGGAAGCCCAGGAGATTTCAGTGGGTGTCCCTGCCCCACCGAGTCTTACTCCCTCCTCACTGGGGTCCCTGTCACAGGAACTCAGGCCTGGCACTGACCAGCCTGAGCAGGCCCTGTCACATCTGGCTGCCTAGCTCCCCACATGGGAACTGGCAGGACTAGACACCACAGCCAATGTTTAAACATTGTCCCGCAGTTAAAATCAGCAGTAGGTTCTCCTCCCTGGGGATCAGGGACCACCCACCACCACACACAATCTCTCGCCCCCAGCTCTGCTCCTGGCAGCCTCAGAGGGCACACAACCCTGCCCAGCCCCTGGCCGGTCCTGCGGAGGCCCAAACATATGAGAACCTGTTGGATCAGTTTCGGCAGCAGTGCTGCCTCCTCTTCCTCCTCCTCTATTTACTTCTGGGTGGGAAGGGCCCTCCGCTTTTGAAAACTAGGCGCAGAGCCAGGTCATGGCCATGGGCAAGGGCCAAGCTTCACCTCCCCCACCCCATCTTCCTCAGAGAGCATAAGGTCAAGTCAAAACCGGGGTGTCCCTGTTTGGAAGTGAGAAGAGGGGAACGGGGAAACGTGCCTGCCAAGGAGGAGGCGGCAAAGCCACAACACCCCCACCCGCACAGATACCATTCTGTCACCCACTCCCGCCCGGGGACGCGCAGGCCGCCGGGTCCAGGAGCCCGCAGGGCGGGGTCACAC